TTTCTGAACACATATTGTGGTGTTCTTTGTCAGTAACACATAACAGGAACTGAGAATCCAGGCCTAAAGTACAATGTGAGAGAAAAATAACACAAAAAATGACTAACCAAAAGTTTGACAAAGACCGGTAGAATTAGTGCATGGAAAGTGTTATCCCACCATTTGAAATACCCTAGGGTGTATACGTTTTAAAAATATATGGTTTGATGAGGGTAAATTACAATGGCCGGCTTCAAAAATGTCCCAAAAAGGACGTGGGTGCATGATGACCAATCTGAAAATTCCAAGTTGGAAAACTGGAATGGGCACTCTCCAAATAAAGTCTTTTAGCCCCCAGAGAACCCAAAACACCTATACATGGGGGTATCACTGTACTCAGGAGATGTTGCTGAACACATATTGGGGTGTTCTTTGGCAGTAACCCTTAAAGTTCTATTTTTACATATTACAAGGAGGGAACTGCGTGCCCGTAGCTCCCTCCTTACTAAACTAAACAAACAAACTCCAACACTCTGTGTTTGTTTGTCTGAAATTTATTTTCATTAATCTGTCTTTCTGATGAAAAGATAGATGAAATACCTGTCCGAATTTCGGACAATAGCGAATGCCCAAGTGTTTAACTGGGCATGCGTGGGAATTTCATAGCGCTACCTAGTGTGGGCAGATAGCGTATCCCACAGGGACTTCATCTGCCCACACAAAGATGTCGGCACCAGGACCTAGGTCCGGGCATAAAATAAAGATAAAAAGGGGGTCTAGTGGCATTTGGGGATGACTAGGGGGGAAATTAGATGTAGTGGAGTCGGGAGGGGGGGTTAAAAAAAACAGATGCAGCCATGACAGTGCCACTTTAATGATCTAAAATATATAAAAACAGAGAGAAATCTAGTGCAGCACTGTTGTACACAGAAATTATATATAAAACCCTGTTGAAATACCACTCCAAACTATTGAGCCTAGGGGTGATCAGACCCTCATATGCGCTGGATCCAAATGATGAAAATATGTGGACTCAAGAACGATAAATCGATACTTTATTCTAATTGTATAAAATAGCATTAAATTAAGCTCTCAGTACTGTGGTGTATATAGTCTCTGGCTTGAAAAAGCTCAGAGAGGTGGGGTGAAATGTGCGTAGTGTGCTGAACACAGAATTATACTTGGAGACACATTGTGGTGGAGTCGGAGATATCCTGGCTGATGCAGTGAAGAGAGAGTGCGCTCGGAAGGCATCATACAGAGCCAGAGACTACATACACCACAGTACTGAGAGCCTAGCTTCCATGCTTTTAAATTTTTTACACATTTGGAATAAAGTATCGATTTATCGATTAGCTGGTGGTGAGTGCACATATTTTCATCATTTGGATCCAGCGCACATGAGGGTCTGATCACCCCTAGGCTCAATAGCTTTAACCACTCCACATTTGTGAGTTTATTTTCAACAGGATTTTATATATAATTTCTGTGTACAACAATGCTGCACTAGATTTCTCTCTGTTTTTATGTATTTTAGATCATTAAGATCATCATATCAATCTCTGTGCAAGTTTATTTTATACTACTCACTTTACAACAGTGTGTTTTGGACACTCATTGGTAGCAAGATTGTTTCCTTTTTAGTTGGAAACATTTGGTCACTTGACTTTTAATCTACACTCACACTAAATTTAGATTGTGCACCCATATATTAGATTTACTTCAACTTGGCCTTGTGTTTAGGGTGATTGTAATGCTGGAAAGTCCAAGAGCATCCCATGTGCAGCCTTCTTGCAGAAGAATGCAAATTGTCTGCCAGTATTTTCAGATAACATGCTGCATTCACCTTACCATCAATTTTTACAAGATGCCCAGTGCCTTTAGAGCTCATATAAACAGGTAATCAATCAATCAATCAATCAATCAATCAAACAAACAATCAGAGTGGTATAACATCAACAGGATTTAAACAAGCAGAACCAAATGTAAAGGCACCAAGCAACCAGAGATCTACCTTTAAATAGTGAAATATTAGGATAAGGTGGTGGCTAAAGAATACTTTTCCACTAGACATGGGGTATGAGAATTTTTTTAAACCATTTCTCACAGCACATAAGGGGATAGGTGGTGGGATTGAGCAGGTACACCTGCAGAACATGGGTGAGAGGATGGAAGGACAATTAAGCTGGACCACTGTGGGAGATAGAGTACCGCTGGACCCCCACCCGTTAATTAAAAAATAACACTTACCTTGTGCTCCTCAGCAGATCAACTAATGTATTTATTGGTACACATTTCATTACAATACCATTACCATAACAACATTATATTAAACGAATTTATCACTTTTATTTCTATTTTTACTTCCCTGATTTTTTGTATGCCATTTTTTTCTGACCCTGTTAGAAATATTGCAAGATAAAGGATGCCATGTAATTTATAATCATTTATAATCCCCATTGTATTTGTAAAATATACATATATATGAAAAAGAAAAACAATGTAAATGTACCTAACTTTATTTTAGGCTTCCCTGAACAGCAACCTTTGCATGCAATAGCTTCATCTAGCCATCCTATTCTGGCAATGTATTCCTCTATTTAAATAAATGTTACCTTTTTCTTTTCTTAAGAACATGGCAGTGAAGGAGTTAAGCAGATATGTACATTTACAGGTTCATGTACAACTTTTTCTTTAAAGACATCTGCTGAATTTCTTGTCTCTAAAGTAATACACTCTTAATAAAGAGGAGCTGGTGCAGAGTTCCATAATATGATATAATTATA